GGGAATGTCATAAAGCAGTTATTACCCAGCCCCACCCACAGCAAAAATATGTTTGTTTAGCTAATAACTCTACATTCCTGGGCCAATTTTTATTCCTAAAAGTTTTCGAGTGTTGCTTGAAATTTAGTTTGTTCAGTGAAAAAGTCAAACGTTCACATTTTTGCCAGGAAAAATGGCAACCAGAGCACAAGGTCAGATCCATAAAGTGGCAGGGCCACATCTGAAACACCTTGCTTTTCAAGTGGTCATTTCTATGTTGGGTGTTCAAGAGTAGAATCACCAAGAAATCTCTTTATTTTGGCCCAGGAAGGGGGGAAATTTATAATGTGATCAATCAAGAAGTACTTACAGTATCAACAAACACTGAGGCTGTAGAGAGGTATTAGTAAAAGTAATAAACTAAAGGAAAGTAATTATAACACAATTTCTGTGATATGGAATAAATAGGTGTAAAATAAAGTAGTTGTAATGTAAATTACGTGTGAAATATATTACAAATTCTTGATTTAATTTATTAGTTCAAACCCTACATTCAATCCTTATGGTCCCGAACGTAGGACGGTGCCTCAGCTTGTGTCTTATATAAAAAAATATTCCGTTCACTACTGCTCCCCAGTAGCACAGCGGTATGTCTGCGGACCTACAACGCTAGAAACCAGATTTCGATACCCGTGGTGGGCAAAGAACAGATAGCCCATTGTGTAGCTTTGTACATAAATTCAAACAAACAAACAGTTCACTACTGTAGTTTGTTGTATCCCGGGCGGCTTTATAAGCTTTGGGTTGTGCGAAACATGTCGTTGCCATTATATGTGGCGAACACAGTGTGGTTTAAATAATACTGTGCACTCTTCTTCTTGAAAGAAAAACACATAAATAAAAAACACTAATGGTGTGAATAAAAAATGTAGTGTTAAAAATATGACAGGCCTAATATAACGCTTTATGATAAGTGCAATTAATTATAAGATTTTTTTGTAAAAATGAAACTTCTAGGTCCTGATAAAATCAGAGGTTTGTTTTTATGCCGTTGGCTAGATCCAGATTTAGAAGATATGAGCCAGTCGAACATTTGTTTGATAGTAGTCAGTTTATGATGAAACAGGAAAACCAGTCACAAAGAACATAAATCGTATCATAAAACACCAGACACCGTTTTGATTGGTTAATTCAATATGTTCGCTTGAGACGCAAATTAAAATTATTCATGAACGATAAGTTTTCGCTTTGTTCTGGAAACGTTTCTGCGAAAACTACTGAGAAATCTTCAAAAAGGGAATTGATCTTTTATCCGAAGTTTATTTTAAAAGTTACACGACGCCATTGTTAGTCCCTGTTGCCAAAGGCATACTTTCCTTTCCATTGTCGTATGGTTTACTATAAAGGATATACTAAATGCATATATATTATTGTTTAAAATAGTCAGTCGGCAGTTAGACAGAGCATGCGCGAACTGCACGATATATTAACTGTTACAGGATGAGAGAGCTATAAGTAGCTACAGAAGTAAAAACTTTTGATAGTACCAAAAAAGGATATTAAACAAGTTTTTGCCTTGCGTTACTTGTGTACGTGCAGAACTCGGGAGTAGAACTCTTCTATTCTTTAAGTACGTGGCTGTACGTCATTAATAATACACAATCAGAAAGCATCCTGCATCAATAAGCGTTCAACTTTATGTTGATACTCTTGATGAAGAAAGGTCCACCTCCAGAAAGCGCTCAGATTATAAGTTTTGTGTGTGTGTGTGCTAGTTTTGATTGAAATGTAGCATTTTCTTAATATCTCGTAGGACATAAAAGAGCAAAATTAGGACCAATTTTGTGTTGTGTCGTAGCACCGACAGTAAAAAATTATACATACATAACACACACACATATGCATGAATATTTGCTCGTAACGAAATCTTTCTTTTCTATCGTATTCATTCATCAAAACACAACTGAAATTCTCCCTATATGTTTATGGTGACACTTTTATTAAACATTTCTTTTCATATTTTGTGATAAAAGACTAAGAAGGAAACATCAAATAGAACATGTTATTTTTATGCTACATGTTACTGTTGTATACCTTCACAAGCAATTCAATACCAGTTATTTGGCACGTACAACCCTGGTGATTCAGAGGTACGGTCAAGGTTCATAACGCTAAGATTCGGGGTTCGATTTTCCGCAGAGGACACAGCGCAAATAGCTGGTTGTATAGGTTTGTACTTTAAAACAAGTGTATAGCATATACACAACCATTATTATATAGAATGTCCAAATGTTTCATCAACGGTAAGATTCACTTGAATTTTCGAAAGTCCTCGAGAACCACGTATAATGGGTATACTTTGTGTGAATGCATTTATGAAACCATTAACAAAAGCATATCGTTCATCATTATTTATTAAGCAATTATAATTAAACCTATCCATACTTTATTATCTAAAATGTATTATGTAAGACATCTGCAAGTGAAATAAGAAAGTTAACAACTATGGGACCTTTGTTTCAGTGTACTTTCATTCATATAGGTTAAACAAGTTGACAAAAACATAAACAATCAAACTGGCGAACTACTTGTTAATTAAAAAAAAAGTGAGCGATTAGCATATAGAAGGAAACAAAATAATTTTTATGCTCGACAAATCTCCATTTCTTAACTATTAGCGTTTTGCTCCTTCTGTTGCCTGTGGTGTTTATCTCTCGAACTTGCTGAATTACGCACGCGATCTAGGGTATAAATCTCATCCAATCGCGAAGAGAAAAATATTCTCGTGCTGTCGAGACAAGCCTTTTAAGTGCAATGTCTAAGTTGTGACACTAACATCGATCGATAGACCTCTTTCGGAAAATTTATAACTGTGATTATGTATTATAAGTACATAGTTAGAGTTTTGTAAGCGAAAATACACACACACACACAAAAACTCTGTATAGTGTCTTGACACTTTTCAGGAGTTTGAGAAACATTCAGCTTAGAAAATTAACTTTTGTCATAATCTACAAAACTTCTGAACTTAGCTCATACAGACTTTTACATTATAAAATAATATTTTTGCTTATTCTAGACAAAGCCATGAATAGTAAATGAAGTGTGCAAAAATAGTACAATTAACTTGATAT